CCGCTGTGGCCTCTCCCGTTGTGGAGCACAGGCTCCGGACGCGCAGGCTCAGCAGCCATGGCTCACGGGCCCAGCCGCCCCGCGGCATGTGGGATCTTCCCGGACCAGGGCACGACCCCACGTCCTCTGCATCAGCAGGCGGACTCTCAACCACTGCGCCACCAGGGAAGCCCTGAGATGGACTTTTGAGCAGAAGCTTGAAGGAGTTGAAGGAAATAAGGAATGTGGCCAACTGGAGAAAGAGTATTCCAGGCAGAAGGACCACCATGGAAAGGCCTGTTAGGTGGGAACATGCTTGGTGTGCTTGAGGAATAGCAAGGAGGCCCGTATGGCTGGAGCAGAGCAAGGGGACGAGAAGTAGGAGATGAAGTCAGAGAGGCAGCAGGAGCCAGATCATCCATGGCTGCTTTAAGGACTTGGAATGCAAAGCGGGCAGGATAGTGTTTTCAGCAGGGTAATGGCAGATCTGACTTCTTTTTAAAAAGAGTCTTTCAGGTTGTGATGTTGAAAATGGGTGGTGTGGGAAACGGGGAATAGCAGGGTTACCACTGGAGAGGCTGTCGCATTAATGCAGATAAGAAGTAAATGTGGCTCAGACCAAGGCATAGCAGTGGAGGTGGCGAGAAGACGCCAGATTGTGAACATATTTTGAAGGTAGAGCCAGCAAGATTTCCTGATGGATAGAAAGATAAAGAAAGTTTGAGAAAGACTCCACAGTTTTTGGCCTGAGCATCTATCAGAGTGGAACTGCTGTCAGTGGGGTGGAAAAGCTGTATTTGAAGAGTTGGAGGGGAAGATCAGAGTACAGTTTGGGACATGGTGGTTTTGAAGTGTCTGTAAGATATCCAGACAGAGATAATGACCAGCTAGTTGGATATATCAACCTGGAGTTCAAAAGAGAGGCCTACAAATTTTGTAGCCATTGGCATATAAATAGTATTTAAAGCTGCGAGACTGAGTGCAATACCAAGGAAGAGTATGTATGGATAGAAGAGGACTAAGGACTGAGCCCTGGGAGCAGTAGTATAAGTTCAGGGAGAAAAGGAGAAACCAGCTAAGGGCCCTGAGGAGATATTGGTAAGGTATGGGGCAAAAAAAAGATTGTATGGTATCTTGGAAGCCAAGAGAGGAAAGTGTGTCACAGAGGATAGAAAGATTAGTTCTGAATTGTTGTTGATGGGTCAGGTAAGATGAGTACTGAAAGTACCTGTTGATTCATCTGGGGTCATCAGTGAACTTGACAAAGAGCAGGTTTGGTGTAGTGGTGGGGCAGAATCTCAACAGAGCTGGTCTAAGAGAGAATGGGAGAAGAGGAATTGGAGGCAGCAAGTTTGCTACTAAAGGGAGTGCAGAAATGGTGTAGTAGCCGGTAGGAAAGCTGGAATCAGGAGGGGGGTGGGGGTTTGTTTTTTGTTTGTTTTTGAAATGTAAGAAAAATGTTTGTTATGTTGATGGGGTTCAGTAGAGAGTACAAAACTGATGATTCAGGAGATGGGGGAGAATAACTGAAGCATTTTCCTTGAGTAGGCAGGAGTGGATGGGATCTACTGTGTAAGAGTTGGGATTGTTTCTAATACAGTGACTACAAACACAGACTTGGGAGCCCCAGCTGGATACAGACTCTGTCTCTGCCATTTACTGTAACTGTGGTCAGATGACTCAGTTGTTTAGCTTCTTTTCACTAGTGAAGCAGGGGTTATACTGCCTTGCAGAGTTGTGAAATTCCATTTGACAGTGTATATAAAGCACCTGGTTCAGTGTTTCCAGAGCAGGTGCTCAGGAAGAGGCAGCCCTGGTGGTATAGTTAGTCAATCTCCAGTGTTCTAACATTTATGACAAACCTGGGGTGCTGCTTTCGGATTAGCAACACTAGGGGTGCTGGAGTCAGCAGTTCATAGGGTTAGTAACCCCTCTGTGACATCTCATTTCTTTATTGTTTTAAAGAAATATTTCCCTTGGTTAATAATTTCAGAATCATACAACATTTTATAAAATGTCAGGTTATTAGTAGTACATTATAATCGGCATTAGTTTAATGTTTGTATCTTAGATTAGAAGATAGAGGGCTTTGCTAGAAATTTTTGCATTTCAGGGTGTATCTTTCTTATTACTAAGTAGTAACTATATAAACCTTTTTCTTTTCAAAAATTTGATAAATGGACTGAAAAGAGATATGAGTTATATATATGTGTATGTATATATATATATATGTGTATGTATATATATATATGTAAATTTTTTTCTCTCTCTTGTCCTTTTCTGGACAAGATTTCCCAGAGTAGAAACAAAATCAAACCTTTGGAAAAGCCTAGTATTATAGACTGCATTTATAAATCTTAAGTGATACTTTTGTGATAAACTTAAATTTATACAACCTTTTTTGGTAAATATTTCAAAATATAATGCATTCATTATTTCCTTTATAATTTGAATAGGTATTTAATAAATAAATTGTTGAATGAAGGAAGAAATGACCTTATGAAGAGGCAGAGGCAGTTGGCTGCCCCTTGTTTTTCAGGGGAAGCCGTAGTTTATCAGTTGACTGAAGCCTCAGGGTGGATAACAGCCAGTACTGCTTTTCACTCTAGTGCACATGCTCAGCATGTTAGCCCAAGTTAAAATCTAATTAAAATCCTAATTGTACAGAACAGTACCTCCTTCATGTTAAATATTCTATGTATCTGTAGAAGTTTAGAGCAGGAGAATATCTGTGAATAATTATGTGTATGAGAGGTTTTATGGAGGAGAGGGGTTTTGAGCTGGGTTTTAAATTGTAGATAGAATTTACAAAGGTAGATAGAAGTGGATCCCACATGAGAAGAAATTCTGAGAAGGATACAGAGGTGGAAGTGAATAAGCTGTACTTTTGGGTCATTGAGGAATGGTAGGCCTGATTGGAATATAAGATACAGTGGAAAGAAAGGTTGGCTAGTTAAGCTGAGGTGGCCATCTTACAAGGGGTACAGAATATTAGGGAAAATAGTTTAGGTTTGTTATGTGAGAAAATAGGGAATGTCACTGTAAGTTTTAGAATAGAGAAGTGATACATGAACATGATGTTTCAGAAAGATTTGCTGGATAAGCTTTTGTCGGATAGATTGAAAGGAAGGAGAAAGACCAAACATAAAGGTCGTCAACTAGGAGGCCATTAGAGCTATCAGGTATGAGGTGATGGCATGGAAATAGAGAGGAAGGGAAAAATAAGTGAAATTGAGAGAGAAGAGAAATTTTGGAACTATCCATAAGGAAATTTTGGGAATTAAAATATAAAGGAATTGTTGGACAGTGCCACAGACAGTTGAAGTCAGATGTGCTGAATCTGGACATAATTTTGTGACAAATGTGTGGGTAAAATCAAAGTCAGGAGCCTTGGGGGCATTGAGAAACTATGGGGTACCTCAGAGTTCTCTGTACCATGGACAGCTGCTTTGGAGAAGAGTGCATGGTGGTGGCAGCAGGGTGGAGAGGATGAACTGGAAGCAAGTGAAGCAGGTCATTCAGGAAGGTGGCCTAAGTTCATGGTGGGCAGCTATGATGGTTTAGTCTTTTTTTTTTTTTTGCCGTACGCGGGCCTCTCACTGTTGTGGCCTCTCCCGTTGTGGAGCACGGGCTCCAGACGCGCAGGCTCAGTGGCCATGGCTCATGGGCCCAGCCGCTCCACGGCATGTGGGATCTTCCCGGACCGGGGCACGAACCCGTGTCCCCTGTATCGGCAGGCGGACTCTCAACCACTGCGCCACCAGGGAAGCCCTAGTCTTATAATTTTAAAGACGTTTTCAGGTTATTGCTTAGTTAGAGGGAAGGGAACTAATATTTATTATTTACTGCTCTGCGCCAGACACGGTGCCGCAGTTTATATATGTATTAAACCGTACAAATCACTTACGATATAGTATTATTTCCTTCATTTTTTGATGTAAAAAAACTGGGGTCAGGGCCTGTGTTAAAATTTAGACCTGTTTGACTCCAAAACCCATGTTCTTTCTCTCTAATGCTGAATAGCATATTCTGTGTGGCCAAATTGTATTTTATTTGTACAATAAATTTGATTGTGATAATCTGTGTAAACAGTATCATACTTTTAATGCATCTAAAGCTTACTGGAAAGAAAGCCAATCCCTTTGATTACTCTTTC